AATAGTTGAATAGTTGACTTTATATGACTAGTGAAGAAATGGAACCAAGACTTGAAAACATTTTCTGTCTTTAGAGAAAGACATATTTGAAAGAGTTCTCCAAGTTATTATTATTTCTTTTTGGGGAATGCTGGGCATTGAACCTGGATCTTGCACATAACAAGCATATGCTCTACTAGTGATCCACACTACTAGTTCCTTTAGGTTTGATTTTTAATCTTACTGGTTTATGGTAGGAGCATGGTAGATGTGTGAATGAAAAATTTTAAGACAAGGGAGAGCAGCTCTTGGGCTTCTTTTCTTCTTGGTTAGTTCCCGTGATTATCTTTCTGCCATTACTCCTGGAAATCTCAGCTGCTGGCAAAAGCATTGAAGTCTCACACTAATCACATGCTATTAAATGTAGGTGGAAATGCCTAGATTCTCAGATTTTTTTCTTCAAAACATTGTAATTTAATTTGCTTATAGTTTCTGGGACTCTATGGCTTAAATATTAATAAGATGATGAAGAAATATAGGCTCTGGTCAAATCAGATTATCAAGATTTGTTACTTTGAATTTAGATTTGCTTTTTTTTTAAAAAAAGTTCTTTGATTTGAAATGCTTTTTTCATTCTCTGAAGCATATACAGCCATTCTCACAAGGAAAAGTTTGCTGTAAGGTTTGTAAGTATTAATGTGATTCACTTTTTTCTAAAACATCAATATCTTATTTAGATGTTTTAATATCCCATACAAAGTCTTATTTTGGTTAAGATGCATTGTACTCATAAGCTGACATGGTGAATTGAAATCTGTTTGTATGACTAAAAGATAATAAATTAAAAATAAATTAAAAATCTTATTTTGAAGTTTGTGAGTTTCTAGAAAGTAATTTTTAATTGAGAAATTTCAAAAATTCTTCTCTTAATAAAATATCTTATTGTAATGGGTTGATAGCAGCTTGATAAACTTAAAAGTAATTCATATTGAAGTTTAACAAACTTTTTTGTGGGGAGGAGTTTTGAACTCAGGGCTAGGGGGATGTCCTTGAGTTTTTTTGCTCAAAGGTAGCACTCTACCACTTGAACCACAGCTCCAATTCCAGCCTTTCTGGTTATTTGGAGATAAGAATGACAGTGAATTTCTTGCCTGGCTTTGAACAGAAATCCTTGGATCTCAGCTAGAAATACAGTTGTTAGCTACCAGTCACCAAAGTTTTTTTTTTTTAACTACATAAACAGTTTCTCAAACCAAAAAGGTTTTTCTTTCATATTCATACACGTTACCATCATTCATAAATGAACTATAGTTATTCTGTTGTGATTGCTGTTATTTTTATTACGGGTAATAATGAAACAGACTTTATTCCTATTGTGTTTATATTGCTCAACTTGACAAGACAAAAATTTTCTTGCCACACTTAGTCATTCATTTCATTGAAAGATGTCCACATTGTTTATATGATTAACATTGCTAGGAGCTATGCTATTTAAATATTGTTTTAAGAGCCTCTAATCTCTTAAACTTTCACTAGTAGAAATAGAACTTTCCAGAAAGTCTTTTGGGATTTAGTATACAAAAATGGATGGATAAGACATGAGAAGCCTACACTGGAGCGAGAGAATCCTAGTTGTAGGCAGATACCTATTAAGTGCTATCATTGAAGGTTACGTAAATTGCTATGGGGAGTACAGGTAGGGAATAATTAATTTAACCTTGTAGAGGATAGTTAAGAGGAATCTCTGCTGCTTCCCTTTATAAAATCAGAGAAGGTCTTCTAGATGTTAACTAATATTCTGTGGCTTGAAATTAGATGTGCTGGGTTTGGGATTTTTTTCCCTCCTTAAAAAACCTGTTGTTTACACTGCCTTCCTTTTGTTTCTACCAGTTACCTTGACAAAAGATGGGAATATAAATGCTTCTATTAGGGAAAGATGTATCTAAGAGTCAAGATTTGAGTCTACAGGGATTCTTCCATGGCAACTTTTGTAGTACCGGGCTCTTATTTTCACAGGGCAGTTGATGTGGTTTGTTATCACCATTTTACCAAGCCACCACCACTGCCAGCTTCTTGGATTTTTTTAAGAAACAACAAAAAAATCTGTTATTTAAATAGCTTATAGATTTTTGGACAAAGAGAGAAAGGAGTAACTGTAATGCACATTTAAATATACTGTCATAGAAATAATCAGAAGGTTTGAGGGGAAGGTAAGATTTTTGGTCTCCTGAAATGGAGATTAGGAACACAGGGAGGTAAATGTCAGGAAGAATACCTGAGAGACTGCTTTGTGGGATTCAAGTTGTGTTTCTGAGTAGGAATTAGGCATGATAGGAAGGTAAAGAGAAAGGCAACATTTCAGGCAGAAATGTTGGTTTTATGACAGGTGTGAAAAAATAATCTGAATCTATCAGATTAATATATATTGTAATCACCTTATATTATGTGTAGCTCATTTCTATAATCCTAGCTACTCAGAAAGGGGAGAGCTGAGAATCTGGCAAAAAAAAAAAAAAAACTCCAAGAGAATTTGGAGAAAAGGCTGGAAGTGGAGGTGTGGTTCAAGTGGTAGAGTGCTAGCCTTGAGCTAAAAAGCTAAGCAAGAATGTGAAGCCCTGAATTCAAGCTCCACAAAAAGGAAAAACATACTAAAGAAAAAAAATCACTGCTTGTGGTTGTTTAAGTGTGGGAATCATGTCAGTGGGAATCCAGATGGTTCTCCAGATTATGTGATCATTTGATTTTATGTTGAAGACAGTCTTTAAATATAGTAGAAAGCTCACAAGGATTTTAAGCAGGATAATGACTTTAGAGTTGGAAGTGACACTGATTAGTGTAGTCATTTGATAATGCAATTGTGCTTGAAATATGATGGTAGAGAGACGAGAAAAATATCATTGGTTAAAGACATTATGGTAAAATAAAAAGATGTTTTAGCTTGGTGACTTGTTGAAAGGTAAAGAGAAAACAGATTTTTAAGCTGGCTGATTAGGAAAGTAGTAAATACAATGTAAGAAAATACAGGAGAAAACTTTTTATTTTGTAGGAAGTGAAGACAAGTTCCATGTTAATCATGTTGTGTCATGTTAGAAAAACAGGTGAAATGACTTGCAGAGAATTGGAAACTCAGGTAGAGATTTAGTCATTATTATTCAAAGGGGCTGAGAGAAGCTCTAGGAATGTTTGAGATCTCTAAGGATAGCCAATTATTTATTTATTTGCTTATTTATTTATTTATTTTTGTCTATACAAGTCTGGAGAGTAAAAAATAAGGTCATGCTAGGTGCTGGTGGCTCACACCTGTAATTCTAGCTGCTCAGGAGGCTGGCTGAAGATCACAATTGGAAGCCAGCCTGGGCAGACAAATCTGAGATACCCTTATTTCCAGTTAAGCAGAAAAAAAAAAAACAAAACCAGAAGTGGATGTGTAGCTCAAGTGGTAGAGCTTCAGCCTTGAGCAATAAGTGATATTTTGAGGCCCTGAATTTAAGTCCCAGTATCAGCACCCCTATCATTCACTCCATATAAAATTTCTACATTTTTAAAAACCATATCTGCTTTGTAGAAAAATCTGATGATTCCAGGAGTCTTTCTGAAGACTATCATTTTACTTCTTGCCTGGCATTCACTATTTTCCTTGCTAATTCATTGGATGTGTCTTTGCCTGTTGCTACTCAGTGAAAACAAAGAGCCTCAATTGTTTGGCTCTCTTTTCCTATCACAGAAATTCCTGCAATAAAATTCATTTATTTTTTTTTAATCTTAAAATTTTATGGTCAAGGTCATGTACAGAGGGGTTATAGTTACATTAGTAAGGTAGTGTTTACATTTCTTGTCTAACTTGTTACCCCTTCCTTCATTTTTCTCCCTTTTTCCCTTCCCCTCAATCCCTCCTCAAGTTGTACAGACCATTTTCAACATACTGTCTTGTGAGTACTACTGTTAAAGAAATTGTTTCTTCCTATGTTGACATTCTCAGTCAGTGGTGGAATGCTCTTAGTGGTATCATTCTCAGTGAGTGGTGGAAAGCTCTTGGTGGTATCATTCTTTTGCCCCATCATGCTTACTCACAGTCTCACACTTGATATTTGTGGACTTTGTTGGTGTCCTGTCCAAATGCAAGTGTGTTGGCTTCATGGTTCATCCACTACATTTTTGTATCTACCTGGTTCCCCACTTGAAGGTTCCTTGCCCAAAGCTTTCTTCTTGCTTTATCCATCGGCCGACACCTTAGATGAAGGACACTAACTTACTAGGTCCAAATTGGACTGGGACCCCAGTACAGGTTCTCAGATCATGAGAGGTGTGAAATATTACATTAAAAAATGATTATCCCATTATCTATCTTTCCTGCTTACCATAGTTATTCATAGGCTGATTTATTGGTTGATGTGAGATTAGTTCTGTTCTCTAGGTAGAACAGTGATGTCTGCTACTATGGAATTAGATCCCATCTGAATATTCTTTTGGGAGAATTGAGTCACTCCTTTCTCACCGCACTTAATCTTTTTTATCCATACCTTTCCTTTTTGAATTTATTTATTAATTATTATTATTTATTACTTTCCTTTTTGTATTTATTTATTTATTTATTTGCTTATGGCTAGCAAGTTACCACTTGAACCACATTGCCACTTTTGGCTTATTGGAGTTAATTGGAGATGTCTTTCACATACTTTCCTGCCCAGATTGCCTTGGAACTGTGATCCTCTGATCTCAGCCTCCTGAATAGCTAGGATTATATCTGTGAGTGACTGGCACCCAGCTGATACTTATGTTTTAAATAAGTATAATTTCATATTTTCCTTTAAAATAAATGTTGGTAATTTATGTTTTTTTCCTGGCTCATCTGTAGAGTCCCTCTGTGTATTTAAAAATTTTATTATTTGCAGTTGTTTTAGAACAAATTTCCTGAAAGATACTATATTAGAAATATTTTATTGGATTCAGTCTGTGAAGTACAATGGACTATGAGGATTGAAAAATACAAATAATACATGTCTTTTCTCCTTATTTTTTAGCCTTCTTTGAATCCTGGGGGAAGCCAGTCATCGGATGTGGTACTTTTGAATCACTGGAAAGTGAGGAATTTTGAAGTACACCGTGGTGACATTGTGTCGTTAGTGTAAGTAATTCAGAGATATACTTAATTTGTATTTCTACTTATGCTAATGTAACCAGTAGTCTACTGTCAATACTGTGATCAATTATTAAATTAATGAATGCATATGAAATATATGCTTTTTAAGAAAATCAATCTTGAAATATAATAATGCTATAAAAAGGGTTTCCTTCATATTTTACATGTCAGTTAATTGACCTAATTGGATTTGGTAAAATGTGTTTAATTAAATGTTGATTAGAAGTTATTATGCTAATGATCCAAAATAAGTACATTTGATATTGCTTAGGAATATTTTGTGATTTTTGCATGTTACTATGAGACTTTTATGCTTTTACGTTCTTTTTTTACTTTTTGAAGGTAAAATTGTTTAGAAGATGATAATTGTGATATGAAATTCAAATGACATTTATTTATATCAGGAATCTGACTGAAAACAGGAGTTTGCAAGATGAGTAGTGGAGGCTTTTGTTTGGGACCAAAAGGTGGCACTGTTTCTCTGTTAAAATATTGTGACTGGTCAGGAAGAAAAATTTCATTCCAGTCTTTAGTTGTAGAAAAGGAATGTCAATGAGTGCATAATTGACACAATAATATAATACATAGACTTAGAACATGCCTGAATGGTTTAGATTTGAGCTTTTGGTTTGTTTGTCTTAAAAGTAAATTCACACTGAGAACAGTGCCAGAACTTGTCTAATTTTTTTGGCTTCAGTTATTTATAAAAACTTTACGCCAGTTAGTAGCAACTCATGAAGTTTGTTTTAGTGATCATTAAAGCTAACCTTGAGCGAAGATATTCCTGTTTTGTATTTCTTATTCTTGAACTGGAATGACTTTTTCTTGTTGGATGATAATTTAAGTATTGATGGAAAACGCTTTGTGGAAATAGATATTCTATACCTGTGTCTCCTTCAAGACTGGTTTATGAGGGGTCATTTGAAGACATATTATCCAAATCTTGTTAGCAGCTAATAAAATAAATAAATTTAAGCGAGTTTTATATGGCAGACATCCAAGGATGAGGATTAAATGCTTCTCATGTTTTGAGTGCTTTCTTTTATTTTGTCATTTAGAGTACTATTTTTGCAACCTCCTTAAAAAACCTTTTCCATGCTGGGGTAAGCCTGTCATATGCTTATTGCTCTTTTGCCTTTGGTTTGACAAGGTTACATCCCCACTTAGTTGGTGATGGAGCTGAAACCCACCCAAGTGAAAGAGGTCACATTACAAGCACATAATAGTGCAATACTTTTTTTTTTCCCATGAGAAACGTACTGACTATCTTTCAGCAAGTGACTCTGAATAACTAATTGAAAAGTGAAAAGGGCTTTTTGAAATTCAGGGTTATATGACTCCATAAAAAAAATCTCTTAGCATATCATAGACTATGTTGAAAACACCATTCTTTTAAGCAAAAATTTTAATTACTTATACTTGTTATTTAAGTTAATTTAAAAATTATTTTCAAATTGGGATTGCTGGAATATATTAGAGTTACTCAGTTGAATTGTATTTTTAATGCAGCAATTATATGCCATACCTTTATCACTTAAAAATAACGTACACTTTCATAATGCTTTGTGGCTATCCATTTACATAAATGAACGTTTAATTTTGATTATTTGACAGCAAACAACTATTAAGCAATGTCATTGCTTTCTTTGAGAAAGAAACAAAATCTCTGGCATTAAATTCTTCTTTAGCTGAGTAAATACTATTAAAAGTCATATTTGTCAGGTGCCAGTTGCTGTGCCTGTAATTCTAGCTACTTAGATGACTGCGATCTGATGATAAGATTCAAAACCAGCCCAGGCAGGAAATTCTTTGCAAATCTTTTCTCCAAATAACTACCACAAAAGCCAGAAGTGGAGCTCTGGCTTGAGGGGCAAGAGCATTACCCTTGAGCAAAAAAAAGCTCCCAGGACAAGAGTTCAATCCTTAGGACTAGCATGTGTGTGCGTGTGCACACACACACACACACACACACACACACAAGTCATACTGTAAAGTGTATTTTCAGTTTTATGAGCAACAGTGCTTAGAAACATATCTTTATTTTTTATGTAGTTTACAGACTTCTTCATTGGTGTTGGTTTGATAAATGTTCATATATACATTTTAATCCATGTCAAACAATACTGAATATTGATGCCAAGGCATCAATCTGGTTTTTAACATAGTTGGCGATTTTCATTACTACACTGGAACAGTGTAAGAAATGTACAATCAGTACAGAAATGCATATCCAAATGTTGAGTCTAAAGATAATGTGAAATGTACTTTGTTTAGAGATTTGTGTTAATAATAAATTTCCATGATAGGTGAGTAGTCTTTGGAAGTAATGTACAATGATATTTTTATTAATAAAAAATATTGAAGGAGGAGATGTGGTGTTCACATCTATAATCCCAGCTTCTCAGGGGGAGATTGGAAGGAATGAAGTTTGAGGCAGGGAAAAACATTAGTGAGAAGCCCACCTCAATCAATAAGTTAGGTGTAGTGGTATATACCTGTGATTGCAGCAATGTATAGTAGCCATGGGTGGGAAAATCCTATGAGACCTGCTGTGGCACTTGAAAAATAACTAAAGCATAATAGAACTGTGGGTGGGGTTCAAGCGTGAGGCCCTGTTTTTAAACCCCAGTATCTCCACTATTAAACAAAGAGAAAAAATTAGCTGGTGCTGGTCATTCACACCTGTAATCCTAGCTACTCAGGAGTCTGAGCTCTGAGGATTGTGGTTCAAAGTCAGCCCAGGCAGAAAAGTCCTTGTGAGGGCTGGGAAGGTGGCTCAGTGGTAGAGTGCTTGCCTTGTATGCATGAGGCCCTGGGTTCGATTCCCCAGCACCACATAAGCAAAAAGAAAAAAAGCCGGAAGTGGCACTGTGGCTCAAGTGGCAGTGTGCTAGTCTTGAGCACAAAGAGGCTCAGCAACAGCGCCCAGGCCCAGAGTTCAAACCCCACAACCAACAACAACAACAACAAAATTATATATATATATTCCTGGAACAGTATTTCATGCACTGAAAATGTGTGACAATGTAACATTCTACTCTAATAATTATATATATTTCTAAAAATTTTTCAGTATAGAAATTTGTTCTTCTAATAGTAGGGTTTATGGGACTTTGTATTAGAACAATAACAGAAAGAATAACAAGCCTAATTGAAATACACAGTTTAAAAGACATTAAATTGCATATATATATAAATGTGGGGTTTAATTTAGGACTAAAAGAGTAAACATAGCCTGATGACGTGATATGAGGAAGGGTTGAGTCTGTTTATGTGTACAAGGACAGAGAGTATGATCAGAAGTGGAGAAAGGTGATCAACTTTGTATAAAGGAGAAGTATATGTTCCAGTCATCATTTTGATGTTTTTTGTTTTATTATTAATGTGGAGATTAATTGAAACAGGTCTACCTCTGTACATCAGGCTATCCTGGAATTCCCCATGTAGTCCCTGTGGACACTGAACTCCAGAATTCTGACTCAGTCTCCCAAGTGCTAGGATTGTGTGTATAGTACACATGGCCTTGTTTTATTCATTTTTAATGTGTGGGTAAACTTTGCAAAAACTATTTCTATGAAAATGGTTGAATATATAGTATTGATTTCTTCCTGATTTGCTGCCAGTAGTGTACTTGGTCTTCAAATTGCTGTTATTAATGAGGAAAAGCATTATTGTATGGGGAAATACTATACATGAATAAATGTACCTTGTGAATTGTAATAAAATCGTTTCTCCATTTACCAATTAATTGTCTATGGGCTAATTTATGTTACTGAAACATGTGGTGTGGCCATCCCCTTCTATTGTAAGAGATTTTGTTCAGAGCCTGTTGACCAGTGCTATTTTATTTTTATTTTTTGGGGGGGAAGGGAGTTTAGTGTGGGGGACAAGTACTATAGCTTGAATTCAGGACCTTGAGCTTGTTCAGCTTTCTTGGTCACAACTGGCACTCTACCACTTGAGCTATGCCTCTAGTCCAGCATCTTTGAGATGAATTAAAGATGGAGTCTCACAGAGTCTGCTACTCAAGCTGGCTTTGAACCTCCTCTTCCAAGTCTTGGCTTCCTGAGTAGCTATGGTTACAGGCTGCCTAATGTCATTTTCTAAAGCATGGAAGGTCTGAAGGAGGGAGCTTTATGTACTGGAATATGTTTCTTTGTATCTCATTTTTTTCTGTTCCCTTTTATTCTGTAAAACATTGGTTCCAGTGGCACCATTATTTAAAAGTATTATTCTGTTATGTGGAGTCAAAAGATGTATTTGTTTAGCTCCATACAGGGCTCACAAAACATCATCAACTATCATTAAGTTCTCAGCACTAGCAGTGTATGTAGGTGGCATCACACTTTCTTAGGGGATTTGCAAGCTAATTGTAATGATTAAGGTGGATTTTCTATACCTTGGAATTGACTTTTTATTAACCTTTGTGACGGCCTTACTGCAATAGGCTTAACATAAGTAGCCTTATTTCACAATAATATATCACTTGACAAGTCAATTTAGATAGAGGCTCTTTCATAATAAAGTTCAAAATGATCACATTTAAAAGTTTTAACTTTTAACTTTGAAATAGTATAAGAGCTAAAACCAAGTTGCTAAAACACTATAATTTCTATCTACCTCTCAGCCCAACCAAAATTTACATTATATACAACCACAGTACACTTACTGAAACCAGGAAGATGACACAACATTATCCTTTAACCAGTTTTTTAAAGTTTAATTTTATTGTAAAAATGCTATACAGAGGGGTTATAGTTACATGAGTAAGGTAATTAGTACATTTCTTGTTGAACATTGTTACCCCTCCTTTGTGTTTTTCATACTATTCCTTCCCTCCCCTGTCTCCCCTCCTTCTCTTCCCTGCACCCCACCCCTTCTGCCATCTCCTCCCCATCAAAGTTGTAAAGATCATTTCCAACATAGTGTCTTATGAGTATCATTGTTGCAGTGGGTCATCCTGTGTCCTTGTTTTAGCATTTTGT